CCCCCCCCCCCCCCCTTCGTCCGTCCGCCCCGTTCACGCCGTCACTTATTCATTACTATGGTTTGGACTTGCACAATACTACTTTTCTCTTCAGCCTGTATCCATTGTATTCATCGTTGATACCCGTGTCATAGTCGATACATACACACATACATACACACATTATTGTTACTACCTTTGCAGCCACCGGCTCTGCGCATCAGGCAGGGATCTTCTCCGGGCGTGCCTGGTGATCGACAATCCATTGCCGGATGTACGTGCTGCTCATCTTGGCGCTCTTGAGCCTCTCGGCGTCCGCGTCGTCGATGCTGGCCTCGGTCGCGGAGATGACGTCGATCACGAACGTCTCGAGCGGGGGGAGGCCCTTGTCCTTCCTGTGCGCGTGGACTGCGCCGGGCGGCCGGGGCTGAGCAGATGCAGTGCGAGAGAGCAAGACGGCACGCACTGGACGATGCACCTGGGAGGGTCTCCTTGCTGACGACCAGCGCCTGGACGTCGGGGTCCCACGCGGTGGGGCCGTACACGTCGGTGATGGGGACGATGTCGTGGAACAGCCCGGGCTTGAAGCGCTCCAGGAACGCGCGGGTGCGCGCGGTCCTTGCGGGGAGGTCCTCGAGCACCTCCTTGTTCGCCTTGTTCTTCAGGAGGACGTCGTCTGGTGCGCAAGTGGGGGTCAGTGCACGGACGGAGGACGATGCCGACGGGCTGACCGGTGATGCCGACGATGAGCCTCTCGCTGGCGATCCACGCGGCCATGCTGAGCAGGATCTTGTGCCCGGCGTGGAGGTGGTCGAAGGTGCCGCCCATGGCGACGACGGGGTAGAGCGGCGGGAGGCGGGTGCGCGACGAGTGGGGGGGGACGTGCGAGAGGCGCGTGTGCTCGCTGGGGGGCAACAGGACGACGTCGGGCCGGTGCTGGATAGAGGCGAGGTGCGGGGGCGCGGGGTGCGGGTGCGGGACTGGACAAGGGTCAGCGGGGGCGCGGGGGAGGAGGGGGGGAAGAACCTAGGTATATGCGCTGGGTGTCTCGCACGAAGTCCTCTGGGGGGTGGCCCTGGGAGCCCTTGAGCAGGACGTCGATGTCCATGAGGACCCTGCCCGTGTCCTGCGCGACCTGTGTCGCCTGGACGTAGACGTAGGTGAGGAGCCTCTGGACCTCGTCCCAGTATTCGGTATGCGAGACGGGGCCGGTGTTGTCGACCTCATCTGGCGGGGGGTTGTGGAGGTCGTTGAAGAAGTGGGAGTAGAGGACGATGCGGAGGCTGTCGGTCGAGTTGCGGGTGGCTGTCGCGATGGCAGCCGAGAGGAAGAGCGGGGGCTCGTGCAAGTGGTGGATGGTGGCAAAGAGGACGGAGCGTGGAACGGAGTCGGGCTGGTCGTGGTGCATGGTACAACAGATTAGGGCTCTTGTGGTCGAAGGTGGCGCTGTGACCGAGAGGGCGTCGGGGCAGAATGGGAATGGTTCAGGAAAGCACTCACCCTAACGGCTGGACGCATTGCGCGATCCGGGCAGTCGGCAGTCGGCAGTCAGTAGCGTCTTGCGCGATGAAAGACTCGACCGACCGCAGCGTCGAGAGCGTGACAGCCGTCTAGTGCGCGTGAGCATGTGTGACATCCCCGTCACGCACCCGCGCCGACTGGCCAGAGCCGTCCTTGTCCTTGTCCTTGTCCTCGTCCTCGTCCTCGACGCCATCGACAGCGGCGGACTCAAGTCTCGTACGCACTCATCCACCTTTTCTCCAACACATTGCTTGTATCATTCACGACTGTAACGACTCTTCACGACATGGACCGTCTTGATTCTCCTCCGTCTTCTCGCTTCCGCCGACCTTGGTCTCCAGATCCTTTTGACCCCCTTCCTTCTGCCCCGCGATATCCACAACGCGAACCGTACTCTGGACCCCGTCGCGAC